GAATTGCCTTTCCAAGCTTGTCTGCTGCTCCAAGGAGCACATCACATCCTGTGCTCAGGCCATGGACCAGCTCCTCCTGGCTACATTCACCACCCAGGGAATTCTCACCTGAAGAAAGCTCTCACCAGAGATCACTTGGCAAGATTTAATTGGGTATCACAGCATCCCTCCCAGGTAGACATTATTATATTATATTATTATCTCCAATTTGTTGATGGAGACAGTCAAGCCCCAATTGGGGTGGTGACCTGCCCTGTGTTGTAACACAATTCCATGCTGGCTGTGCCAGACACAGGGAGACAACTCCAGGCAAGCAGTGTCCTCCAGCTCAGGGAAGTCAAGGGATGAAGCTTTTGGTGTCCTTGGGCACCAAGAACTGCTTGGAATCACCCTCTCTCTCTGTATCAGGGGCTTTTGTGCCACAGCAGAAGGAGCTGTACGAGCTTCGTCATCTGCCAGCTACACCCAGGGCACATTTAAAAGACAAACCAGAGCTGACTCAGCACAAAAAAGGCACCTCTGGTGGGAGACCACAAGTCCTGTGGTTCAAAGGGAAGACAAAGCCATGTGTACCTGCTGCGAGCACTGAGGCAGGTGGTTGGTGTGGGAGTTCGTGTCTCTCTCCACTGCTGCTCAACACACACCTGAAACAGGGTGCATTGCAAGGGGCACCTGCCTTGAGGTGTTGAAGGCAGCAGAGAGATGCTGAGCCTGATGGAGAAGCTTCCTGGGACGTTGTACAGAAGAAGTGAGAATTGTTTCCCTTCCCAGCAAGGGGCTGTACACCTGCTATTGCCACAGTGCCCTTCCCAGCAGCCAACTCCAAAACCTCAGAGCACCACGAGCCAGGACAATGTGGTGACAAACAGCTCTACCCCACAGCACCAACAGAAAATCCAGAGCTATAAAAACAGAGGCTGTGCTTGATCAGTCTGCAGCACAGACCCTCCCAGCACTTGGGCAGTAGCTAAAGCCTGGATTACTTGGAGAGGCATCCCCACAGACTGGAATTGCACACACACACAGAGGTCATGCCCATGTACCTGATCTTTGGTAAATCATTTAACTTGCTCTGTGCCTCAGCTTTCCCCAGCTGCACTAAGGAGCCGGCTCGAGCCAGGAGTGATTTAATGGCTTTGGTGGCTGGTGCTGCACCAGCACCAGGCTGAGGATTAGTAATGCATGAAGCTCTTTGAGGTCTGCCAGTTTAACCTTTCTCCAAAATCAGTTTTCCGTTTCCAGTCCAACCCCCCTGAGCTGTGGCTGCCCACAGTGCTTACCTGCATCCAGGAGCCTGATAGGTCAAAATGCTTCACAGAGGCTTTAGTTGGTGAAACCTGCAGCCAAACTCACCTGGATTTGCTGAATTAGAAGTAGCAGGATTAATCTGAATAAACAACCATCCCACGGGGAAAAAACACTGGGTAGCTAAAGAAGAGAGCAAAAAAATTTAGGGGGGCAGAGTGGAGCAACCAAGCCTCAAAATATAATAAGTTCAGATGGCAAAGATGGCTGTGAGAGAGAAAGACCTTCCACTTCCCAGAGGCTTTCTGAGTAGTTGCTGGTGGGCTGATATCTCCTTCCCCTTTCTTTGGCTGAATCAGCCCAAACCCAGTTTGTACCCTGCCCTTTATACCTTCCTGGAGTGTGGTGGGGTCACCCAGGTGTGCCCCATCCCTCTCATCAGGCAGGGCTGGAGGGGCACTGGTTTGGGCACCAGTATCCCACCCTTCCCTTGTCAACCTGTGTAAAGTGTGAACAAGCATCTCTGGGATGTGTTTCTGCTGAAAACCCATAGTCAGGAGTGGGAGCTACGCCCACCCAAACCCCTGCCAGGGGGATGAGCAGGGTGAGAGCCTGTGGGAAAGGTCCTCACCCACACCAAAAATGGGTGTCTCTTATGGCTGATCACAGAGAACCTCAGAATGGGTGACCAGTGCAGTGACACGATGGGACATTTCTATTCCCAGCTGCAAAGCACTATGTGGGGTTTGGGTCTGTGCTGTGCCCAGCTGCCCCCCTGCCCCGTGGGGCCCCCACTCGTGTTGGGGCCGTTCAGTGCCTCAAACCCCGTCACCAAAGCCCCGTCTGGCTCCTGCGGGTCGTTCCTCTGCGCCGTGGCCGGGGTGGCCCCTCAGCACGAGGCTGTGGGAGCAGCACCGGCGGGGTCAGGAGCCTGCAGCCCCCCTGGCCCGGCTGGGAAGGGCGCAGGGGGTCGGCGCCGGGGGCGTGGGGCTGTCGGCCGCGGGCTGAGCCTCCCCTGCACCGCTCTCATGCTTCCTTCTTGTCTGCAGGCTGGCTCAGGTGCTCCGATCACCTGCTGCTTGCGGGAACGGGAAAGCAGCAACTGAAGATCGAGGGGGACTTTTGGTTTACTCAGATGACAAGAGACAATTTTGGTTCCCCAAAAGCCAAGGAAACAAAGCTGTCAGGCTTTAATGGTAGCTTGTCTCCCTCCTGCAGCATGTTTATGGGCAAACAAGCTGCAGATCAGACCAGGCAAACAGCAGCAGGTGAGGCCAAATAACAATAATTCATAATTAATGGCGAATGTGGCTTTGTTTATTCTTGTTGTGTTGAGGCAATGCTAATGGATGAAGCTGTTACAGGACTCTGGGGACCGGCTCAGTTCCCAGCGCTGCCGCCTGCTCTGCCCCTCTCTCACCCCTCGTGTGCCCCGTGAGGGCACGAGCTCCCCGTGACATGGGTGCCCTGTCCCACTTTGCACAAGCCCAGAGCGACAGGCTTGAGGCTGAGGCCTTGAGGCAGAAGAGCAGTGCCAATATCCATGCTCAGTGCCAGTGCCTGGCCCCGTTTGCTCGTGGCCTGGAGCGGGGCCGACCCCACTGCACTGGGTCCGGGGTACAGCTTTCCAGGGGGATTTGTTTCTCACAGTAGCACCATCCCTAAAAGCTCCAGTACACGTTTGCCAAGTGTTGTGGTGTCTCCATGCTGCACCATCAGCATCACCTGTGCCTCCCCACCGCCTGCTGCTGCGTGTGGGGTGACCAACAAACGCACCAGAGATGCACCCAACCCCTCCCCAGCCCTGTTTTCCGTGGGCTCTGGTGTTAACTCGCTCTGGTGCCGGATGGGTTTGCCCCCTCCCCAGACGCCGTGTCCCTCGGGTGTGTGGTGAGGCACAATCCCTCTCCCTGCATGGCTCTGCCATCCCTTGGTGCCCGCAGGTCCCTGGCCACGCATGCGGCTCGAACGCGGTCCCCGCATGATCGTGGGCATGCACAGAGACACACGTACAACACACCTGGCAGAGGGGGTCGCCTATGCAGAGCCCTTCATGCCACACTACAGGCAACACCTTCCCTCCTAGGGAGGCTGGCCTGGGGGGTGGCCCTTGCTGCAGCAGAACCCCCACGCCAGGACCGGGACCTGCAGGGCCTTGGGTATTTGCAAACCACGCTGTGACTTTTGATTCTAAGGGATCCCCTGGAGACTGCCCTAACCTGTTCCGGGACTGTGGAAGAAAGCTTTGAAGTCGCTGCTTCCTGGAAATAGTTTTGGTTTCCTACGTCTCATGGGGATGTTCCTGTACTTGTTCTTCCCTGAACATCCCTGAAGCAGCCTCAGTCGTGGCAAACACCCACCGCAGCTGCTGGTTCCAGCAGGGCACTGGTGCATCCCGCCCTTCACTCCTTGACTTTGTCCAAGTTTGATGTTGGGAGGAAACTCCACATCCTTCAGTTCACTGCCATTCATCCTTTAGTCTTAAAACATGAGCCATTTTTATGTAAAGTGCTGATTTTCGTTGCCACGCTAAAAGTCATTGAGCTGGATTTACAATGTGCTGATTGTAAGCACCCCCTCATAGGTCCAGTCCCTGTACCCTCCCCTATTAATTCTGGGATTTCTGTTTCATTTTGGCCATGTGTGTTTCCTCTATAAACCCTGCACCTCACCCTGGCATTCGCTGCTGTGTTACTTGCAGGAACCATCTGACTGTGGAGCAGTCATTCCCGAGGAACCACAAAGAATGCCAGGGACAAAATGATCTTTGGATTCCTTCAAAACCTGTATTATTCCCCAAGTTAAATTGGTTCTTGATTTCAGAACATAAAAGCCAAAGAGATTTGGCACGAGTCTCAGCCACAGTTTTAACCTGTAAAGGTTTATTGCGTCTAAGAACGTTTCTTATGGAATGACAAACGGGAAAACTGAGCCCCTTCATCCCTGTGTCACGCCACGGGCCTGATGCAATGCTGCAGTCACCAGTGCCTAACCTTGTGTTAATTGACTTTTGCCCATTAAGTAAAGGGAAGTCTGTGCTGGATAAATTGGGTTTGATCTTCTCAAGCTTCCTTTAAAAGGGAGGGATGATGAAAGTTCAGGGCTGCGGCTGGTTGTGGGGCTAATCCCAAAGCTGAAGGCAAAGAGACTCTCTCCCCTGGTTCCCATGGGTGCACGCTGGAAGCACAGCTCTCAGCCAGCCCAGCAGCTCCCGGGTTTGGGGCAGGGAATGGAGGTGGTGGCTCAGGGGGTTGATCTTGCCCGGTGGGATGCAGAGTGTGCGGGGCAGAGTTGGGAGGCAGCCGTGATCCCGGGAGGGGATCGGTGCCCCAGCCAGTGGGACCAGCCAGGCTTCTCCCTGCCACCCACCTCCCAGAGGGGGTAGGGAGGGGACCTGCTCACAGGTCCAGCCAGTGACACTGTGGACAGTCCTCAGCCTTCCAGGAGACCAGCCCAAAACCTTGGCTTTAATTACAGCCGAGCTGGGAGGTGTGGGAACGCAGGCAAGAGCAGCATCCAGGCTTCTTCCTTTCTGTGACCTTTACTTAGTTTAGTTTCATCACCCCACATCTCTTCTTTCATTGAGGAAAACAGGGAACTAACTGAGACATCCCAGCAGCTGTTGTGCTGTTTGTGGATGGCAGGACGTGGTGTGGGAGGCTGCAGAGCTGCCCAGAGAGTCACCACACAGCGTCCCTGGCTCCGGGCTCTCTCAGCCACAGTCTCCTCTTCTCTCTCCCTTCCTTGTCTCCCAGTGCCCATCCCCTCGAAGGCCAACGGCACCACCATCTCCAGCCTGTCAATGAACAAGGATGGCCTGGTTGGAGGGGTGACGAATCCCAACGAGGTGTTCTGCTCCGTGCCCGGCCGCCTGTCCCTCCTCAGCTCCACCTCCAAGTACAAGGTGACGGTCGGGGAGGTGCAGAGGAGGCTCTCACCCCCCGAGTGTCTCAATGCCTCCCTCCTCGGTGGGGTCCTCCGCAGGTGAGCTGCTCCAAGAGCCCTGGGGTCTGTGTTCAGCACCAGCTCTTACCTCTCAGATAAACAGAGAGGAGAAAACCTGGTGTCTGGTACATTGGGGAATAGTATTTTTGTTTCTTCTTCTTCTGTCTTTTCAAACCTCAAAGCTTAAACTGGGACCATGGTTATTTTAACATGAATTACACTGAATTTCCCCTCCCCTCTTTGTTTTCTCTTTTCAGAGCCAAATCAAAAAATGGGGGTCGGTGTTTAAGGGAAAGGTTAGAGAAAATTGGATTAAATCTACCTGCAGGGAGGCGCAAAGCTGCCAACGTCACCCTGCTGACATCCCTCGTGGAAGGTAAGAGCTGCTCCCACAGAGGGTGGGAGTGCCAGAACTTCCACTCCCTTCATTTCCAGCTTTCCACAAACTTAACTTCCAGAACACTTAAAGTATGGGGCAGCCACCACCAGCTGAGCCTGGGAATGTCCCCTGTGTAAACCTCCATGCTGATCCAAGCACACGTCCTTTAAAATGAACAGACCCTTGGGAAGGCAGAGGGCTGAACAGCAAATGTCCAAGAAAATGTCCAAGCATGGTGACTCTGCTCATGGCAGGGGGTTGGAACTGGATGGTTTTTAAGGTCTATTCCAACCCAAACCATTCTGTGATTCTGTGACTGTTTTCCAAAACTCAGGCATTTCTGTCAGACCAGCCATAGCCCATGGGAAAGGCACCCCCATGGATGCTGAGTGGGTCTGGCTGGAGCTCAGGGTACCCCTCCTTTCTGCTATCAGTGGGGTCACAGAGTCAGAACACAAAAAAGCTTGAGCAAAGCTGCCAAGGTTCCACAGCTGCTCTGCAGCCCCGTGCCCCCAGTTCGGGCACAACGCTGACCCCTCCGTCAGGGCTCCATCCCCACGCCCAGCTCTGTGCCTCATCCAAGTGCTTCCCTCCTCCCTGGCACAGCAGAGGGTGAGTGAGACATCAAGGAGATGCCAAAGAGCTCCCAGGTCTCTCGGGTGGAGCTCAGGTGTGCAGCAGCCACCCTTGTTCAGAGCGTGGCGTTAAGGGCCGAGCTCCGGAAAATGTGCATCCCCACCTGGATGTGTGAGGTGCCCCTGCCCAAAGCCACTCGGTTGTTTCCTCCCCTCCTACTTCTTTGCACTGTGGAAATGATGATGTCTCCGCTGCGCCCTGGGAGGAAAGGACACGGGACACAAACAAATGGAATGACAGCTCCGCCTGCCTCCGAGCTCCGGAATCCATTGTGTCCGTGCCCGGCGCGGGGCAGGCAGCTGCCTGCGGATCCTGAATAGAAAATCATCCCCATTGTCGCCAGCAAATTAAATGACCCGCTTCATTAGGCCGAGGTTGTTACCGAGGGCAGTTGGTTTGTGCTGAATGAAAGGCTGATTTCCATGAAAAGAAAAGAAAGAAAAGAACGAAAGAAAGAAAGGAAGGAAGGAAAAATGTACAGTTTGAGTTCAGGTGGCTGCTGATGTTTTGGTTCCTTCTTGCCAGCTCATAGTAAATAGGAGTGGTGCCCTGTGTGCTTGGTGGATGTAATTTCCTCCTGAACATGTGATGGTACCAGGGATGTTCCAGCCAGAGGAATGTGCTGCTGCTTTCTCTCACACAGAACTGGCTTGTGCCCCTCTGTCCCAGGCACCCTCTTTCCTGGACATTTGCTGTCTTGGCTTAATTTGTTTTCTCCCCTCTGCCTTCCCAATGTCTGACCATTTAAAAGAGCCCCTGGATGTCTCTTTGAATGCTGATGATATATTTTTTCTTACACTGACCCACTCACACAGATGGGGAGGATGTTCCTGGGGAACCCAGGAAGCACCAGGCAGAAACAGCTCCCTTTGGAGTCCTCACTGAGTACACAGAGCACTCACCTTCTCTTGAGCAACTGCTCCATGAGGGCAGCTCCAGCCTGGACCCAGGGGAGCAGCAGGGCTGTATTTCCACTCCAGAAACACCCCTAAGTTCTCAAAAGAGCCTCAGGCAGGCTCCTCTGGCTGCTCTGCACCCCGAGTGCTCTCCTGCAGCCTCTCCTCCCCAGGCTCTGGCTCAGTGTGGCTTTAACATCTCTTCCCAAATCCAGGTTGCCCTGTTTCCCCTGACACCTCCCTAATCCAACCTCCAAATTGCTTTTAAGACATTCAGATATGCAGCCACTCTCACACTCATGGAGGAAATAAATCCTGGCTCCAGCCTTGTCTCTGACCATGGGCTCATTCAGCTGTCTTTTATCATCCCAGTAACAGTTTTCCAGCAGTTGTTCCTTTCTGACTGTCTTTTAACACACAAACAACTGCAGTTCTGATTCTGTAGGTTTACCTTATTTGCTCCTTCTTTGGGGGAGGAGCTGAAGTGGAAAGTGCTGTCCTTATGTGGGAAGCACGGGCACTTCCCCCTAACTGAGCTCCAGGATCCGGGCAGGCCGGGCTGGGATCTGGGTTAATGCTGTTAGGATGGATGGCCTAATACGTGTGAGCAGCAGGGGGGCAAGTCAAATTAGCTCTGCCTGCCTGACCTGGATTTTGGGTGTTGGGCATGATCAATGGCCATCAGCTCTGATTATTTCCACGGGGACGCCTGGAGATGGATCAATCCCATCAATGGGTGGGCATTTCCACGGGGTGATGGATACGCTGCCTGCACGTCCAGCCCGAGGGCCCCGGCTCACTGGGGGAGGATGTAACCCCCTTCCTCCTGCCCCTTCCTCACAGCCCTGCTTTGTCCTGTGGTCACAGGGCTGAGGTCGCTCTTTCACCCTCCAGCCCCCATTTCTGCTCGGTTTGGAACAGCCAAGCAGGAAATCTGGGAAGAAGGAGGGAGAGAAAGATGCAGCAGGGGATGTTCCCAAGTGAAAAACGCCTCTGCTGCCCTTCCTTTCGGAGCAGGTGCCCAGAGTCACACCTCACTCTGCTCCAAAGCCAGCACCTTCCTGATGCTCTTTTAAAAGGCAGTAAAGGAAGGATCCAGCTGCTGTTTAGAGCAGGCAGTGGCTCGTTTGGCCCATGTGGACTAATTGCCTCGCAGAGGAGAACGAGAAACTCACAGTGGTTTCTGCACCAAGAGCTGAAGGTGGGGAGAGCTCTTGGGCAGTCACTGCAAAGGGAAGCACCCCAGTCCCACCAGAAATGAGCCCCCCCAGTGAGATGGCTGAAGCTGCTGCAGAAGTTCTCCCCTCGCCCAGGGCATGGGCCGGGTGCTGATGTCCCTCTGTCCTGCCCACAGGTGAGGCCATTCACCTGGCTCGGGACTTCGGGTACGTCTGCGAGACCGAGTTCCCGGCCAAGGCGGCGGCAGAGTACCTGTGCCGGCAGCACTCCGACCCCGCCGAGCTGCACACCAGGAAAAACATGCTGCTGGCCACCAAGTGAGTGCAGAGGGCAGCGAGCCACCGGCGTGTTCGGTGCCCACAGCCCGGGAGGGCAGCGTTGGCCTCCAGAGCTTCCTCTTCTGTGGGGAAGAGAGGGGCTCACACGCTGCAGGAAGATGAGCAGCAAGGTGAAGGGCCTGCAGGGACTGAAGGGCTTGTTCCTCCATGGGAGAGGGTAACACAACCACGGGGGAGCATTTTGGCACTGCCTCATGTGCCCCTTCAAAGCAGGAGCAGTGGCAGTGGCTCCAGCTCTGCACCCAGGAGTGGCTCCAACTCTTTCCACAGGCTGGAGCTGAAAAATCCTGGTGGGGAGGAGGTGGCTGTTGGTGCAGGGAGGATGAAAAGAACCCCCAGACACACCCAGAGAAGTTGTGGCTGCTCCATCCCTGGAAATGTTTAATGCCAGGTTGGATGGAGCTCTGAGCAACCTGGTCTAGTGGAAGGTGTCCACATCAGAGGGGTTAGAACTGGATGATCTTCAAGGTCCCTTCCAACCCAGACTATCCTGGGATTCTATGATTCTGTGTCCCTGCAGCTCTGCATGAGCTGTATAATGACCAAACCCTCTCTCTTTCAGACAAATTTGCAAAGAGTTTGCAGACCTGATAGCCCAGGACCGGTCGCCGCTGGGGAACAGCCGCCCCTCGCTGATCCTGGAGCCCGGTGTCCAGAGCTGTTTGACTCATTTCAGCCTCATAACCCACGGCTTTGGGGGCCCGGCCATCTGCGCCGCCCTCACCGCCTTCCAGAACTACCTGGTGGAGTCCCTCAAGGGGCTGGATAAAATATTCATGAACAGCACGGGGAACGGGCACAGCGGGGACTCCAAAGCGTCAGACAAGGAGGTGAAGCATCGGAAATAACGCGCTGCCTCCCCCCGGTGGGAGCTCCCCCCGGGCACCCGCGGTGGCACCGGGACGGGGCCGGGGAGAGACGACCCCAGTGCACTGTTTTCTGAACTCTGCTGCGTTCGAAGGCGGGAGGAAAACTCGTGAAGCAAACAGAAAAAAGACAAAAAAAAAAAAAAAAAAAGAGGATTTAAAGAATTTAAGAAGAAAACAGCTCTAATGGACGTAGTGAGATTGAGGGAAGCCAGGCTGACGGCTTTGGGGTTTTGCCTTTTTTTTTTTTTTTTTTTTTAAATCGTGGATGCAGGAAGCCAAGTCATGTGCAATTTGAGTTTGTTTTGTTTTGTTTAAAAAAAAAACGTAATGAAATCCTGAAGTGCTCCGGGAATTTGCTTCAACTGAAAAACTGAGAGGAAAGAGGAGAAGCCTCGTCAGTGCAAGACCCAGAGCAGGAGCAGCCAAGGGCAGGGGGATGGAGCCCTGGCTGCACCTGGATTTATCCACTGGTTTTGAGGCAAACACACAGGAAACCTTCCCCATTCCCCACCTACAGCCCATCCCTAACACCAGGCCAAGGAAAATTGCCAGAAGAACTGCTTTGGATTTAAAGCAGGTTCAGACTCCGTTTACAGCTTCAAACTGAGACTCACTGTGGATTTTCCCATGGGCTGAGGAGCCCCAAGCCTTGGCACGAGGGAGGAACAACCACCCAGTCCACAGGTCCCAAGGAGAGTCCTCCCAACTGCTGCCCTCATGGCTGGGGACAAGGCAGGTGAAGTTAAACCCAGGACTAATTAAACCTCCACAACCTACAGATAACAGCACACAAGTTTCTAAAACAAACAGTAATAGTTAATAAAGCACAAGGAGCAGAACTTGAACCAGGCCAAACTGAACTGTTCTAAATCTGTATATATTTATTTATGTGTAATTAAAATCTGAAAGTTTTAAAATGTCCAGTGCAAGTTATTTATATCAAACTGAGTTGGGGTTTTTTTTTGTTTTGCCTTTTTTGTTCGTTTGTTTGTTTTGGGTTGGTTTTTTGTTTGGTTTGGTTTTTTTTTTTAAAAGATGAAAATCTTTGGATTTTCTGCCATTAGAAATGGGAATGAAGTTTTGGATCCACCAAACTGTAGCATGGGCAGGCTAGGCTGTGATGATGATAACTCTTAGAAGTTCTGCAGGATTTTGTACTTGCTGTTGTTTCTCTTAATGCTGCAATAGATGTACGACACCCACACCACAATGTCATTCTCATTCTCTTAATAAACCTCTTTTTATTTGAAGAAAGCACCTCCATCGTCTTTGTGAGAAGGATCCTCGGACTCTGTGGTTGCATCTTGAAACAGGTTATGTGGATTAGTTATATAGGAATTGTATAGATTTAAGAGAGAATCCTCCAGTTTCATGGCTGGGGTTTGCCTGAAGCCCCAAAGGGAGCTCAGGGAGTGACAGGAGCTGGAGTTCATGTCCCAGAGTCCCCAGCCCTGGTGCTGAGCCAACCGGCGCCGCTGGAGATGAACAGTGAGATGATGTGTCTGCTGATGTTTCAGAACTACTCAGGGTAGTCAAATCTAAACCTGTCTGTGAAGACCTGCAGAAGGACCTCATGGTATCAGTGATAAATTAGAAGATAAAGGAACCCCACTAATCTGCAGGCAATGAAGCTCCAGGTCAGCTGCTGTTCCAGGCACCTCGTGCCCTCAGAGCTCAGAAATAAACCCGATGGGAATGGTTAAAAAAGGATTGACAGAGCAGAGAACAGACCCTGCTGCAGGACATCTGTGTGTGCCCAGGGCCACTCTGTCCTGAGTCCAGCTGGTAAATCCAGGGGGATCTCAGGTGGGAACAGTTGCTGTGGGAGGCAGGACCAAGGGTTAGAGCTGCAGGAGGAAGCACATCAGCAGTGTGTGACAGAGGTGTGGAAAACTGCCAGATAAAGGAACATAAACAGGGAAAGATGATACCAAAATGAGAGGCAGGACCCCGTGGAATGGTCAGGAAGCAGCTCTGAACAAGTGAATCTTACCTGTCTCAGGTAAGAAGCTGCGACGTTCCATGGAAGGAGGTGTAAAAATGGCTTTTGACACAATGGAAGAGGGTGATTTTAGGGAGTCTCCCCTACACATCCATGGCTCCTCACAGCCAGAGGCTGGACAGCTGGAATGGGACCAAGCCAGGGCAGTAATCCCTATATTGGACCCTTCTCAGAGTGGTACCTGTTGAGTTTCTCTGGAGATGTACAACAGGCTGATGGTAACAGAGGAAAACCCCAAACTGTCCCAAAAGGGCCCACGGGAGGTTTGAAACAAACCTCCCTCCTTTCAGAAAAGTGTGAAAGGAAACATTTCATGTCCTAACATAATTTGTGGGGATGGCTCAGCGTCAGAAACTTGCATTTAAATATTCCCTTCAAAGCTTAGGGAGGCATTTAAATTGGGAATTGGATTGGTATGAGGTTTGTGAAAGCAAAGACCTAAATGACGGGCTCTGCAGGTCTGGTTTTGCTCTGGACCTTCCCAAAGGAAGAGCCAAGGAACAGGGAGGAGCCAGGGAGCAGAATGGAAAAACTACAGACACATCAGAGGCTTGTTTACACTTCAAAGCCAGTTTGGATAATTCAGGGTGTGAGCCAAAAGCACAAAAAACTATTCCTATTTAAAATTATTCCAAAGTAGGAGCACCCTGTTCTGCATCAGCATAATCCACATTTAAATGGATTATGATAAAGGGGAGTAAGGTGCTTTTGTGCTACAATACAGGTTTCCCTACATGGGGTTATTTAGGATAACTATCCTGAAATAATTCCATTTGCAGACATCCTCTGGAGCACAGTATCAGAGCCGAGCAAGCGACGCCCCGACACAGGATGAAAGTGTTTGTGTGCACACTGTAATATACAGGCGTGAAATATCATTTCCTAATTTAATCACATTATGCAAACCTGGCTTGGTTGGGGCACTTTGAATATCAAGGAATTCTTAGACACGGCAGTGATGAGCAACACAGAGAATCAGGATCTGTCTCCAGTAATTACACACCACATCCATGGGGTTGGAAAATACCTCCCTCCCCGGGTACCTGCAAGTCTCTGGAATGTTTTATGAGGAACAGTCTGGTGCCCCACAGGCCAGGATGCCTCCAATGACCCGTGAGTGGGAGGAAGTTGGATGATCTGGATTCACTTGTTGATTCCACCACAGATGCTCAAGACCAGCAACGGACACGTCACGTAGGATCGACTTTCTAAAAGCACTGAAACTTCCCAAAATTTTGGACAGACTTCATTCCTGCAGGCCCACAGAGACACCCCAGAAGAGTCAGGGGTCGTGCCAGGCCAATTCTTGTCCCTACTGCAGTTCCCTCCCAGCTCACTGTCAAACGAGGCCATTCCCTGATGTGTCCTCTGCCCTTCCATCCAAACAGATAAAAGGGAATTTTACACAATTCTGGGCTCAGCCCTGGTATAAATTCCCACACTGATTACAAATCTTATCGTGGGAAAATACGTAATATCGTGTCAAAGAGTAAAAATAGATCCAGGCTCATGGTTTCTACGCTTGTTATAGAACAGGCTGGAATTTCAATCCTAAAGGGAAATTGAAACAAAAAAAGGTCTTTTTTGAATTAATTTTGAATGAGTGACAAATCCAGAGAAACCACATGCCAAGCCCTGACAAGTGAAAAGGAAAAAGAACATTATCAAAAACTCCTCAGTCTCTGAGAGTCAGTTGTCCCAAGGGCAAACTGGGGGGAAACAAGGAGCTGTGGCTGTGCTGCATCATTAACGCCAGTGAGCAGAGGCTGTGCTGGAATTCCACATGGCTTTGGACACACTAAATAATTACCTCTAAGCAGGCACCTTAAAAGCAACGGGGTAATAACAGCTCTTGGTGTGAAACAACCCAATAAGCAGAGTTTGCTGACCTGTAGTTAATGCATTCCTTCATACAGGAGAGTCCATTAAATTCCCAGCTTTACATGCAGAATCCAGGGAGCCACGTGGCCTGTGAGCAAGGGGAGTTTTTCCTGTTAGTGCAACTGAATCAAAACACCAAAACTGGAAACGTTTTCAAATGAGGCAGTAAAGTAAATGTTATTTGTGAGGGTGACACAATGATCCCAAGATTATTGGTTCAGACCTCGTGTTCCCTGTCCAGGCTGCACATGGAGCATGTGGAGCCTTCATTATCCCAACAGAGCTGGCAGAGAGGCTCTGAACCTGGCCATGCTGAGCCAGAGGGTACCATTTTGGTCTCCCTGCCTCACCTTTATATGGTGAAGAACTCCCACTGCAGCCACCTGAGCATCGCCCCATTTTCAACAGGACACCATAAATAGCAATAATCATTCCAGACACTGAATATCCACCCAAGCTTTGTCCCTGTGATCATGGTGCTGAACCACCCCAGAACCTTTCCAAGGCAGGAAAAATTATGGCAGTGCTATTCTGGGTGACTCCTTTGCATGGCTTTATCCTGACACCTTCAGAAGCTTCTCAGTTGGTTATTTCCAGCAGAGAAAAGGCTAAACACCCTGAAATCCAGAAGGATTTCCCATCAGGAAGAATATTATTTTATTTCCAGTGATAAAAAGTTTTCTCCTTTAAGAATCCCTGTTCCACTTCACTGCCTGCTGGTTCCATGTGGAAGCAAAGGGAGAAAGGCATTCCAGCAGGGAGGCAGGACACATGGGATGCAGGTGCTACTGAGGAGGAGGAGGAAGCTGCTGGAAAGGCCAGTTTGCTCGGTTTGGACCATGAAAAGAGCCTTTCTTACACCCTCTTGGCAATGTGCTGCTGTTTTGCCTCTTAAATGGACCCTGGCACCACAAGGAATTGCTTCAGCCCAGGCCTCCCACTCCTGACCCATTTTCATTTCATTTCCTCTCCCCAGCCCTGTCATATGGCAGCAGCACATTATATATTATATATTATGGCTTTTGGAGTTTCCTGCTAATTTGGTCATCACAGGGAGCCTCCAGGAGCACTCAGTAATCACCACATGGGATCAGACCAGTCTTGTAGCACAGATAACTCTGACTTGGTCCTGTTCAGGCTCTCTCTGTGAGGAAGGCAGGGTTTGGCACAGCTCTCCAGGGCCAAAATGGGAACAGGTACATCAACAGCCCCACAAAGGACAGGCAGCCCCTCACCCCTCGTCAGGGCACAGCCACGTGTGCACTGGGCAAAGAGAGGGGTCCCAGACAAAGTGTGAAGGTCCAGCTCTCCCCAGGAAAGTGAGCAAGGCAAAAGAGGTGGGGAAACCCTACAGGGCATCTTTCAGAACATCTGGCACACAGAGCACTTGGAGAATCTACACTCCAGGTCTTACCTGGTAAAGTAGAAAACTCAGACAAAAAGGTAAAAAAAATTAAGGAGTGTTCCTGTTTTAAAGTATTCTTAACAAAAGAAAAAAAAAGTTGTCAGTGCCTTTGAACCTGCTCTGCCAAGGAGTAATTCAGCAAATCCTGCGAGGAAAAATAGCTCTGTTCAGCTCAGCTCGGGGCAAAATGTTTTCTATTAATTCCTGTCTTAGCAGGGTTTTTCACAGCTTTTAAACATAAAGAACCTTTTGCTTCAGTTCTCTGCACATTTTGGAGCCAACATGGAAACCAAAACCAAAACTGTGTGGCTTCACAGCTCCTAAACACATCAGCAGGGGTCAACCTCAAATCCAGGAGACGGAGCTCACACAACCAGCATCCCCTGGCTCATCCCAGCATCATCAACACACACCTTGGAGTATGAGACATGTCCAGCAAAGCCCCAGTGTGATGCTCTGGGCAGGTTTCTCCTGTGCTTTGAGAGAACACTGTAAGAAATTAAATTAAAACGCTGTTTTGATTGTTTTTGTCTTGAAGGTGCTCGCTCAGAGCTACGTGAGTTTAAAACTGAAAAAAAAAAAAAAGAGAGAGAAAGAAACAGGTTTGAACCTTATCACTTTAAAGCAGAGAAAATAAGGAATAAGTAAACCCTGGAAATCCTTTATCCCAAACTCAGCCATGCCCAGGAACAGACGTTTTAAAGATCCAAGAAACTGCTGTTCAAAAAAAGAAAGAAAACCCACAAAACGAGCTGACATATTTTCCCAATTCCCATCTCAGAGTCTGGTTATGTACTTGAAACTTTCTGATTCCCATATAATCCAACTGGGGACATTTTAATTACACAGCATTTTCTGCTCAGCCCAGGCCCATAATGACACCCTTCAGCCCCAGCCTCACACACTGCAGACTTGTTGGGAAGGAGCAAATGAGTGTTATAATATCCCACATTCCAAACCAG